GATTACTCTCTTTAAAAATACAAAGCTTGCTACAATCGTTGCAATTGGCGGATTCAAGTGACCCCTCTTTCTCAGGCAGTGAAGCATGTAGAAGACAGCACAATGTTTGCGGCAAGTGGGTCCCAATCCATAGTAGTCTATCTGTCGGTAATTTGCGCACTGTGGATTATTTAACTATTCTTTAGTGCCCATCAGTTATTCGTCTTGGTGGGGAGAGACATTTAGAGAGCATCTTGCCCGCGAAAACTCAGCATAATCTCACTAACCATTAGACTACTGCGCCTCCTTACGTTTTTGATTCTAAACAATAATTGAAGTGGTTTTCATCTGAGTGTCCAAAGCAATTCGCATTTGCTTTCGTAATTATGTATAAGGTCAAAAGCAACATCGCCTCTTCCTATGTAGCTGAACTGTTTAACAAAAATATAAGCCGCCACGCTCTGAAAAACGCAAACTTTACCATACCAAGGTTCAACACGGTAGCTCATGGTAAACACAGTCTAAGCTATTTAGGGCCTAAACTGTAAGCAAAGTTGAGTAAAAACCTTAGAAAGTCAGAAACCCTTCACAAATTTAAAGTCGGCTAAGAACAATGAATCTGACGGAATTGATTAGCGAAAATTGTGATAACTGTCTTTTATGTTCTATCTGACCTTTCATATAAATGCAATTTTAATCATTTTTATTAGCTTAGTCTTTTTTATGCCGTAATTAATTAACTTTGTCCCGTATGTTTTTAATGATTGGAATTTTATACTTATTATTAGTATATATATAGGTGTCCACAATTAGCTAACTATTACGTTTACAGTAAACTAGAATTTTTGACGCGACAATAAAGTTATTCATTCATTACTAAGCCAACCAATTGGCTTAAAAACAAACCTTGCGCCACTTTGTCAATAATCTACCTTATCAGACCTGGAACCAATCGCGACTAGTTCGCTCAAATTTTCCCGCCTTTCGCTTCAGCTACATGTATTTGCTTGGCGTTTTGATTGGTTCTTTGGATTGGCCGCGTCCTTTTTGATTAGCTAGAGTGATCACTTTGGATTTGGTTTTGCGATACTCGATCGAAAACGCTCTGTGTAAAGGAAATTCGTATTTGCGAACCAACTGTTGAAAGGAAAAATTATTTGTGCACAAACAAAATTAAGTTGACTTCCCAAAGACATTTCACTGCAGCCATTGGGGTACGTCTCCGAGTCGCGACGCATTAGGTGTTTAAATTGTTAAATAAATTCATACGGTAAACGAAATTTTTGCGGGCAAACACTGATAAGAACTGTCAAGAGAGCTTGCTTGAAAGCCATCAGCTCAGTTGTACACACTTAGATAAAGACAGATACACACTTGTTTTATTTACTCACTTGCACCTTTACACTTAATTTATTGATTTAATACAATCATTTTAAATAAACATTTATATATAAAAGTAAGCACGCATGAAGTTAAGGCTAATCTAGGCGGTCATACTTTAGCAATTACATTTTTGTCATAATATACAGACTATTAACTATGAAAATATATAAACAAGGGAAAAAGACAATGATAAAATAGAACCAACAAAGCGGAAAGCCATTAGATTGACCCGAATATTACTTGTTATTTATTAGTGAATGGGTCAGATTAATATTTAGCTCTTATTAACCGAGCAGGAGGTCTGTATGGGACAATATTGACCGAGGTCGTGAGTACAGACCGAACGCAGCCCCGGGGAAGAGGGGGTTACTCCCTTATATGGGCTATATAGGTATGTGCGGCCCCAAAGGGTAGGGTTTTTCAGCCGTTTTGGTTATAAATAGGGAATCGATTTTGGCCATTTTAGTCTTGAATTGGGTACGTTTCTTGGAAGAAGCTACTTTTTCAGTATTATCAATACGACCGTCAACAAAAGCCCTTCATGACTTATCTTTAGGGCAACTGTGCCAGCCCCAACGGTCATGAATAGGGTGTCGAATTTTTGGCCAGGTAATAAATAGGTAGCAAAAATCGCAGATTTTGGTCATAAATAGAGTAAGAGTTTTGGGAAGTGGGCCACAAACCCCCATCCAACTTTTCTGGGAGTACTCCCTCCCCCTGGACGCAGTGAGGTCTGTACACACGACCGAGGTCAAGATTCTCCCATACAGACCGACTAAGCGTGGTTAATAAGACGTTTATTATATGGCGCAAACAAAAGCTTACAATTTAATTCGTTTAATGTTACTGGTTTGTACTAACTGACATTTTGCTTGTGAACGGCGATGAGCTGAATTTAATTCTGCCAAAGTTTGCTCGTCCTCAATACTTTTATCTAAGCAGCCTTTTTGGCACTTCCATAAAATAAATATTGTTAGATGAAAATAGCCAGTGATTTTGCATTTTAGTTTGCAACTTATTCGCTGCAAAACATTACCGGTTTAGATGCCGTTCTAGATGGAAAAATCTAGACCACTTTCAATATCGATTTCAGCCAATCAAAATCGTGAATTTGGTAGTTCCCAGTCCCTGTGGGACAGAGTCATATAATAATAGGATTTAGTAGGATTTCAGTTTAATATTAGTGGTCCGAGAGACCATGAGAGTGCGTACCTGGAGGAGTCATCCGGCAGCATTTTATCATGTCAATACAATTCAGGTTGTCACAGTCTCCTTTGTATACGCCCATCATATAGTGCCAGTCTCGACACTTGCTCCAGCCTTTCTTATTTAGTGATTTCCTTACATTTTCATCGTAGCAATTCTTGGTAAAGTTTTTGAAGTTTCTGGGTCTGCAACACAATGCCTTTTCGATATTGTGAAGCCAAGTCTCCGTTGAGCGATAAATTCCTTGGAGAAAATATCCGTCAGGACAGGAAGCCCATCTGTTGTTTCTGAATTACACAATAATAATACGAGATTATCTATTTGAATCATCGTTTTCAAGTAGTTAGGTAGGTAGGTTAAGTCTGCATACGAGCCTGCAAGTGGCCCATCAGGCCGGAGCTTATTCCGGTTTCTGTAGCATGGAGCGATTAGGACTATTAATATATTTCTACTACCCTCCCCCACCCTGGATGGGATACTAGTCCATCTCATGCAGGGTTACCCAGTGCGTTAAGCTCGCTGGTACCCATTTATACACCTGGGTGGGGAGAGGCACAGTGAGATCAGAATAAAGCGTATCCCCTATCCTGGTCGAATTGGAATTTGAAAATGTTGATTTTTCAGCTGAAGAACCTCTGAGCAATGCGAGAACCGAAACTGGACCGTAATCAAATGCTAACCACATTGTTAGGAGGCAAACACTTGATGTCAGCGTTACGTCATCCACGTTTCAAAGAGCGAAATCCCGGAAAAGCATCCCAGAATAGCGGTAAGGGAAAGACCAAAAAAGTTAAAATAAACTAAAAATAAACATGAATGATTCTGACACAGGAATAGCTAGACTGATATATATTTTTTAAAATGATGCGTCGTCCGCTTCTATTCTATGCTATCATCCTGTGAAACAGCGCAAAAGCAGATAGCGAAAAAAGAAGAGAGAGTTTGTCTAGCTTTGCCTTTTCTTAGCTCTGCAGACATTTGCCAAACAAGAAAACACGCGCAGCTAGCGTTCTCTAGCCAATCTGAAAGAATAGAGAACCAGTTGAAGGTTCTGTAGCAGAGTCTGCCTCTTGACGCTCCTTACAAAAGACTTATTGTTTGCTTAATTCTGCTATTGGTTGAAGATAATCGTGTAACGTTCTTTAACAAATTAAAAAGAACAGAGCCAACTGAAGGCCCTGCGATCTCTTTACGTTCCTTATAGCTAGTGTAAAAGCGCAAAAAGAAAAAGGTTTGCTCACTGCAAATCGTTTGGTAAGACTTCTAACTGACCTACTTAATGAAGTTTTCCAATCCAGTGTTTGGCAAACAGGAGTATCATCTTTGTATTCGTGTGGAGAGCTACAGCACTGCCCCTTTTTAATATTATCGATGCCATCAGGTAAAGAAATGACAGCATCATTTTCCCTCCACACTCCACTTATGTATCTTCCCAATGAGCAGTTTGCCCATCCTGGTCCACGGAGGGCGGACTCCCAGCCCATCTCACTGCACCTGTCGTTTCCTGTAATCAACACAAGGCAAGGTTACGAACTCGTCTTAGGGCGCTGGAAATGGGTTTGTGATTATGCCAAAATGTTGTTCCGTGTAGATTTCAATGAAGAGTTATCACTATTTTCGAGAATGTATGGTCTCAACGCCAAATTATCTTGACCTACTTAATTTTAGACCTCTGAGATAAAGTAAGACCATTGCTCTCGATTGCAATGAAAGTATGTGTATGTATCAGTAATGAAGTGCCATATGAGATGAGATGTCTCTATTAAATATCTGTTGCATGTGAATGTAAGTAAAGTTGACCAAGCAATTATTGAACAGCCAACAGCTGAGGGGGAAGGTGAGGTCTGTAAATACTCCTGTCCAACAATTCTCCCTTCCAGAAATAATTTGTAATGATCGCTGAGTGACTGATTAACTTTAGCCTCGACCATACAAAGTCAAATTCGCGCGACATGTCAAAGTATCATTATGATTACCTTGACCAGCGTTTTCCACTGCGTTTATTTGCTCCTCGGTCAAAGCAACGTCATAAATCTGCATGGCTGTAATTCGTCCCTTAAAATACCGGCCATCATTTTCTAATGCGCCCATTCTAACGTTATCTTGAGTTGAAAGAGACAGGCCGGCTCCAATATTCCTGTGCACCACTCGTTGGTCATCCAGCCATAAATTTGCCATACCAGTAATGTGACTATAGGTAAAACCAACATAATGCCACTGGTTTAACGCCAGAACGTGAAACGTGCGTAACCCTGGAATCATAAGGTAATTTCGTTGACTTATTACACCGTACAGCTTTCCAGAATGCATCCAGAAATGAACAGCCCAAGGCCCACCAGTTATCTTATAATTGAAAATTGGTCCGTCTGTATTCTCAGGATACACCCAACATAACATGGTGATGGAGTGTTGAGCATCTAACCCTCCATTGTTTGGGAACTCGATGTAACTGTTGCTTTGTCCCGTGAATTGGTACGAGCCACCGGCCTTGCCATCAGGCCCTGGCGCCATGCTAACACCAACAGGGTTACCCTGGGCTTGTCGATTTTTTATTTCCCGTGTTGTGTACTTGGTGTTCAAGGGATAAAAGGCGATTGGATCTGAAACTCTGACGGCTGCAAGGTTGAACAAAAAAGAAGATTCTCAAACTCATCAAATTACTGATCAAGTTTTAAAAAAGGAAATAATGACAGTAACGGTGTTTTGCTACCTGAACTTATTTAATATAGATTTTGGATTTTACTGCTCCGTTTTTCCCTACTCAGTTTGTTTGAGAAGAGGTATCAAACACTCGAGGCAAAAAAGAATTATATTGGATGATGGCTTATGCAAAACGTTACTGACATTATTTAAATTCTCCCGGTCATTTTGGGGGATTATTAAACGCAGTGATGAAGATGTCGTTTGCTGAACGTAGTTATATCATTTTAAAGCTATCAGATTCAGCTATTAATAATCCTCCAGTAATAACGTGTCCGATTAAAAAGCTGAGTGGGGAGTATTTTGTCAAAATCTTCATTCAACTGATTTGAATTTGAGTTCTGTCCTTGTTTCTTGATGCGCCTCTTCCCAGTCGTCGAACAAGAACCAATTGCTAGCTTCGTATAACTATTTTGTTTCAAATTGATCCTGGAATTATAAACATTAAACATAACCATTTCAACGTTGACTCTATTGAGTTCGTTATGTTTTACATTCTTTGTACTCCTGAGAAAAACACTTACTGTTAATTTCATCTTGAAAAACGTAAACATTGTTTGCAAAAGGACCTCCTGTGCCTTTATTATTGCAGTCGCTACTCTTGCCATATTTGTTAAACGTCTCCAGTACATTAGCGCTCGCTGCACACCAGCCGCCATCCTGAAGTGCAAAGGCAGGGAAACCCCTTCTGCGAGCTGCGACAGCGCACTTGACAATTGCGTTCTGACGGCTGCGGTAAAAGAATACCCCGCCATCCAAGACTGAGTCTGTGTCTTCAAGTGTTGGAATTGCACGATCTGTAGTGTCTCTATAGCATCCAACACCTGTATAATCTTTTAAGAGAGCAGTGTCCAACTAAATGAAACATTTTTATACCATGCCATAGAAAATACAGTCAATCAGAATAAAGGAAAGCCGTTGTATATTCGACGTTATTATATGGCTGTGTCTCACAAAGACTGGGAACTACCGAATTCACGAATTTGATTGGCTGAAATCGATATTGACCGCGGTCTAGATTTTCCCATCTAGACCGGCATCTGTCGACCGGTTTTATTTTGCGTTGAAAAGGTAGCAAACTAAAATACAAAAATGTTCACCATTTTCTTTTATTTTCGTCTCAATCATTTATGGAAGTGCCAAAAAGCCTGATGACAAAAAGAAAAGTAAAGAAGACGAG